CGCGTTCCCCGGCCGAGGAGGGACGTGGGGCTGTTTACAATTTGGGGCGATTAGGGACAGCCACGCACGGTTTCAGAGGCGGGGAATGACCTAGTTAGGAGCAGCATTTCAAGACGCTGCGCCGGCTGCGGGGCTGGGGAGGGGAGCCCCGGGCAGGGCGGCTGCGGCCGGCGCTCACCACCTCCCCCCCCTCCCCCCGCTCTCCCTCCAGGGTACGGCCACGCCGCGCCAGGCACGGACTCGGGCAAGGTCTTCTGCATGTTCTATGCGCTCCTGGGCATCCCCCTGACGCTGGTCACCTTCCAGAGCCTGGGCGAGCGTCTGAACGCGCTGGTGCGGCGCCTCCTGCTGGCGGCCAAGCGCTGCCTGGGCCTGCGGCGGCCGCGCGTGTCCACCGAGAACATGGTGGTGGCCGGGCTGCTGGTGTGCGCCGCCACCCTGGCCCTCGGGGCCGCCGCCTTCGCGCACTTCGAGGGCTGGACCTTCTTCCACGCCTACTACTACTGCTTCATCACCCTCACCACCATCGGCTTCGGTGACTTCGTGGCGCTGCAGAGCGACGAGGCGCTGCAGAGAAAGCCGCCCTACGTGGCCTTCAGCTTCCTCTACATCCTCCTGGGGCTCACGGTCATCGGCGCCTTCCTCAACCTCGTGGTCCTGCGCTTTCTGGCCGCCAGCACCGACGCGTCCGAGCGCGCCACCCGCCGCGCCAGCCCGCTCCGCCTGGGGGCGCGCGCGAGCCGCGGCCGCTCCCCGCCCCGCCGCCCCGCCCGCGCCGGGGGCTCCGCCTCCGTCTCGTCCCGCGTGCACCGGCTGCGGCTGGGGGCCCGCGACAACCTGGCCTTCTCGCCCCCCTCGAGCCCTGGGGCTGTGGGCGGCGGCGGGGCGGGCAGGCCCCTGGCCCGGCGGAAGTCCATCTGACAGTCCTGTCCCGGCTCCGGAGGGTGGATGGAACTGGGGGGGGGCCAGGTTCACCTGTCAGGGCGTGCTCCCCAGAGCTTGGAGAGGGGTGAGGGACCGTGGCCTCGGGGCCGGCTTCTGCCACGAGCAGTGTGTCTTTCCCTTCTGTGGCCAGCGCCCCCCCCCCCCCCCCGGCCCTCCTCTCCAAAAATCCATTAAAGCCGCACCTTAAGCACAAACACGTCCCTGTAGGTGCAAATCCCCGTGGTCCGCACGGTTTTCGGAAGGCGTGGCCACATCAGCCACCCAGGAGAGGCTCTCCACAGGCCCGTGTCACCAGCTAGCCCTCCCGAGTGGAAACAGGTGGCTGTTTCTCTGCTGAGAGTGGAGGCAGGTTTTCCGTGTTGTAAGAGAAAATGCGGGACTTTCAACCCTGGAATCCTAGCAGTGGGGCCGGCTGCTCGCACCAGGAGAGGCACGGGATCAGATGGACTGAAGGGAAACAGCTCCTGTCCCCGTGTGGAGTGGACAAATCTGCACTATTTAAATGATCACTCCTCCTCTTGCTCAGTGTGTAGAGTGGAACTGGCCCACGTGTGAATGAAGCACACCCTCCCTACCGCCCCCCCCATCTGATGTTCTTTGTCCTTGGCCAGCGCCATCCGAGGTCGAGGGGGGCCTTGCCGACACCCACATCACTGGAGCACCTGGATGCAGTCAAATGCGGTGGGAAGACAGACGTGAGATCTGGGTCGTGCCAGCTGTCCTCAGTGTGACCTTGGGGAATGTCCTCCCCTACCTGGGCCTCAGTTTCCACATGTGTAATGACTGAGTTCACCTGGAATCCTGCCCCCACCCGCCCCATGCCCCTTCCCCTGCATCTCTGGAAGAGTTCCTGGGACGTGCCCTGCCCCCTGCGGTGCCCATGGTGGGGTGCGCTGGCATCCTGTGGCACTAGGCTCCTTCCAACACCAACTGCCCTCGCTTCCGAGATAGAACTCTCGGCACAGAGCAGAGCGAGCCAGGTTAGAAAAGCCAAAAACTTTAATTTTCAACATGAGCTACATGGTCATGAACACAATGCAACGTGACCCACTCCAACCCAGGGGCCCCGGAAACCCTCCCTCCCCAAAGTCCCGAGTGGCTCCTGCTCCCAGAGAGGGAGTGAGAGAAAAGTGGGTGGATGGAGAGGCCCCCAGCCTGAGGACCCGGGGTCCGGCCTCCCTGCCACCCCCTTAGGAAGCAGGCATAGAATGAAAGGGCTCAAGATGTGATGCCTGAGACCCCGGGATCAAGTCTCCGCTTTGCCCTCACAGAAGCTAGGAGTACATGGGCACAGTCAGCCTCCCCCGCAGGGCTGGAGTCCGATGCGCTCACGGACATGGCAGCCTTGTGTCCACTCTGAGGCGCTGCTATACAGACAAGGGGCCCTCCCACAGAGCCAGGGGAATCGTTAAGGGGGAACGGGAGAGGGCTCGGTCCCCTGGGCCGGGCACAGTGCTGCTGCTCAATAAATAAATGCAGGTGGCCTTGCCTGACGCAACAGCTGTGCTCCAAAGGGAGGGGGGGCTCAGCACCGCCTCTGAACTCCCAAGTGCGCCCAGGAGCTCCTGGTTTAAGGAACCGGATGGTGAATCAGCCCGTGAAGTATGTAACCACCCTCTCAGCTGTCTGCTTCACCTCCGCCTGGAGCTCTGAACTGGGAGAGAACTGAGTTCCAGTCCGGGCTCAGCCGGGAACCCACAGTGGGACCTTAGCTGGTGCTTTCCCTCCCAGGGCCTCAGCTACCTCCTCGGTAAAGTGGGGCTGATAATATGGGCCCCCTCTACCGTCCAGGGGCTCTTGTGAGGGTATATTCGACGTAAAAGCACTTGGAAAGCAAAAGTTTGAAAAGCACTATAGGAAGGTCAGATATTGTTACATCCGAAGGTTTGGGGAGGCTTTCCTTAAGATGAGGTGTGTCACAGCCGTCTCACTCCCACACAGCCCCCGGGCAGGAACCAGGACTTCTTACCTCCCTCAAGTTGGTCCTACGGGGGTTCTGACCCGCCCTCAGCAGGCACCCCTACCCAGACACCGAGGCCTGGACCAAATCCTGTGCCCCCTCAGTCTGCTGGGCCAGATCCCAGGGCAGCTAGGTCTCTATGGCAACTCTCCCCCCAAACCCGGGTCAGCCGAGATGGAGCCAAGCAGCGCCAGGTGGCCCAGGGCTTAAAGGCCACAGATACTTGTCATGGCAGACACATCTGGGCAGTGGCTTCCTGTCCCATGAAGGAGGGAAGCACAATGCAGCCCCATGCGCATCTGCTGAGGGGTCTTGGGCATGTCACTTCCTGATTCGGGGCCTTAGTTTCCTCCCCTCTCAGATGGGCTACAGTTTGCTCTGCCCATCTTTTCTGGGCCACTGGGAGGCTCTACGGAGAGAAGGGAGGAAGAAGTGTCGTGGGAAATGGTGGCCCCACCGGGTCCTGCTCCGGCTCCAGCTCAACCTCGGGTGGGAGGAGGCCCAGGATGAAGTGCCACTGAACTCAGAGGTGACCCCACAGGCAAGCGTTCCCCTCGCCAGGCCTCAGGCCTCGTCAGTAAAATGGACTTCACGAATGGTCCCAGAGGTCTGTTCCCAGCTGTATGAAATGTGGATTCTGGAGAAGGGAAGTGGAGAAGACTCCCTCCCACAGCACCCCTGCATGCGACCTTTGGCCCAGAGATTGAAAAAAGAATTGGCCGCCCTACAGACCCCAGCTCCCCACTCCCAAGTCCCACACTTCCACCTCTCCGCTCCTCTCCAGACGGGCGCTGGAGCTGGCCGGGATCAGACAGCAGTGGGGACAGGCTGGCCTTGAAGGTTCCCCGAAGCCAATACTGAGAATAGTCACCCCCTCCCCACCCCCCCCATCTCTTGGTGAGGACAGACAGTGGTTCCGCACCAAATGGTCAGAGCCCCCTTGGAAGTGGGGCACGTGCTCACAACAATGATACAAAGAAACAGGGCTCCAGCCCCCACCCCACCCCACCAGGAGGTGAACTGAGATTTCACAGAACGAACAAGAAAGTCACTGAGGGGGGCCCTCGGTGACCACCCCCAGGATGTTGTTATTGCTTTGGAGCGCGCTCTCTCCCTTTATAAAGGCTGTGCAGACACCAGAGGGTAGGCTCGGGCTGGGGGGCGCCGAGCCCTCTCCCCGTCTGTCGGGGACAGCCTGGCTCTGCCCCGTCTTTGAAAAGCTACCCCTGAACAACCAGAGTAGGGACGGCTGGACAGAGAAGGCGCTCGCCTGGCTCAAAATATTCCAAGTGGTGAGTAATAAACGAACAGCAGAGAAATCACACTGGTTAAAAAAAAACAAACAGGGGAGGGGCTGATTCTGGGCCTCACATCTGAGGCCATCGGAGCCCTGCTGCCTCCTGCCCCGGCCTTGGGATTCCACCCAGCACAACCCCAGGAAGCTCGGAAGGGCTCGTCGATAAAAGAAAGGGGCAGCGCCACCTCCCCTTCCCAGTGCAGCATGGGAAGCTCCATGGAGGCGATATCTCATCTGGAACATTAAAGGCTCCCCAGGGCTTAAACAGGCAGCGGGGAGGGGAGGGAAGGGGAAAGGAGGAGAGGGGTCCTGGGTGGAAGAAATCGGCTGGTCAATAGCCCGGAGCGAGGCCAAGGACAAGAGGGAACACAGCTGGGCATCCTTGGCGCAACATGACCTCCTCCAGTGGAGCCCAGGCGTCTCCGCCAAGGCCCACAACCCTCAGGAGTGCTTCACAAATAAAACCAAGGATACTACATCGGGACATCTGAGTACAGGGGTGCGCGGGGAGGGGGGGGCGAGGCAAGAAGAGGAAGAAGGGCCGGCCTCCCATGAACCAGGCTCCGGGCTCAGACCCAGACCAGTGAGGAGACAGCCGCCTCCTGGAACGTTCTGGTGTCTCCACTCTGCCCACCTGGAACTCGGTAAAGACTATATGCAAGCTAAGAAGAGGCCCCAGGCCTTGGAACACTAACTCTACCCAGCTAACCTGGACTACGCCCTACACAGCAGGGACTGGGTAATGAGGGGGGTGGTGGGCTGCTGGGTGCCTCCCAGGGGAGGTGGCAGAAATGTGCTTCTCTAAAGAGGGACCAGCCTGTGTCCTCCCAGCATGCAAAAGGGCTTCCGTGGGCCTCAGGGAGGGCCGGGCCAGGGAGGCAGCTACCCAGGCTTGCGTGAGAAGGAATCTCCGGATTCTTACACTCATGAGCCAAGGTAGTTGAGGCAGGGGCAGTGGGTTCCGCCCTTAGTACAGGGTGGTGTGTTTAAAAAGACTAAAATAGGGAAGCTCCGTTGCCTCCCCAGACCCCTAGCCTGGAGGCAGAGGGGTAGACAAGAAGACCTTTGAACTCACCCAACGAGGAGGGATCCTCCTACGTGGGAAACCCTCGCCTTGGCACCGCTGGTCCCAGCTCCCACTTTCCTTAGACTCCCTCTCCAATCCAGCGCCCCCAAATTCAGAGACGGTGAGCTCCCTGGACTTGGGGTTCTCGAAAATCAGGGTCCTGCAGCTCCTTCACCAAAACACAGATGACCCAGTTCTTTCCAGTCCACCGTTTCCAAACTAGCTTGTTGCAATCCCACGGAGCGAGGCACCCTGGGAATCAGTGCCAGGCCCAGGGCACCGCCTCCTTTCCTTTGGCCCCTGCTGGACCCCAATTCTTAGAGCCACCGGAAGAGGGGCAAGCAGGAAGGGACAGACAGATGGACTCGGACAGGCTGCGGCAAAGCTCCTTCCACGGGCAGGCGGAGGGAGGCTGAGCTCCTCTTCAAGCGGGAGGCTCTGGACCCCCCGGAGCTGGCTCCGGATCCTTGCAAAGCTGCCCCATCGACTCTGGGGCAGGAGTAGCTGCCTGAACCCGGTGCCGCAGGAAAGACACTTGCTGGTAATTGGCACCATGGAGATGGCCGCTGGGTTCTGGACTTGGCTCCGGGCAGCGAGCTTCCGAGGAGGCAAAAAGGGGGAGCAGTCGGACAGGGTCTGGGACAGGAGGATGGTGTGCTCTGCCGCCTCAGTCTTTCCTTTCTCCGGATTGCAGCCACATCCACCAGGTCAAGAACCGGCCAAGTCAAAAGTGCAGCCAATCCCGTTGGGAGAGGGGAGGTCATAGGGGGTAGGAGGCAAAGAGGGGGTGAGGAGGGGCCCTGGGGGTCAGGTCTCCCCGTTCTGCTTCCCCACCGTGGGGGAGAACCCCATCCTCCTCTGTTCAATGTGCCCCTGGGCCTGGGGTCCCAGGTTGGGGCTGGGCGTTTCCAGGCCTTCTCGGGGAGCCCCTCCCCACCCCGGCCCTAAGATCGCTCGCCACAGGGCCCCACGGTGCTCTCGAGGGACAGCTGGGACGCCTGCCGCAGCAGAGGGCCCGCGGCTGGGTCCACCATGGAGGAGGTGGGGAAGAGCTTGTACCAGCCCACGGCCAGGGTGGTCAAGTCCAGCTCCTCCAGTAGCACTCGGGCCACACCCATGAACTGCTTCCGCTCCATGCGCCCATAGTTCCCCCACACGATCACCTGCGGGGCAAGAGACACTGAGGTTCAAATCCTGCCGGCGCCACTCACAGGCCCAGAGCCACAACCCAGGTCACCCTCATGCCCACTTCACCTCTGAGTCCTGTAGATGCTGCTGCCTTAAAATTGCTCAAACCTGGGGCGCCTGGGCAGCTCAGTCGGTTAAGCGACCGACTTCAGCTCAGGTCATGATCTCGTGGTTCATGGGTTTGAGCCCCGTGTCGGGCTCTGTGCTGACAGCTCAGAGCCTGGAGCCTGCTTCCAATTCTGTGTCTCCCTCTCTGCCCCTTCCCCACCTGCGCTCTGTCTCTCTTTCAAGAATAAATAAACATAAAAAAAAAAAATTTTTTTTTAATTGCTCCAGCGTGACCATATCTTCCTGGCTCTCGTGCCGTCATTATTGCTTGCCTGGACAACTGGCTTCCTGCCTCCCATCTAACCCTCTCCATTCTGCCCTCCACACCCTCTACCTTCGAAGCTGAGCCTTGAGGGCTGACCCAACATTGAGTCTCCTGCCTGGTACCACCCCCCCAAGCCCCAACAGGCCCTCTGCTTCCAGATTCTCGGAAACCCCCCATATGAAACAAAGTTTTGAGAGTGGCTAATGGATGTACAGTATACGTGCTAGCTTCCTTCCTTTCTCCAACAGACTCTTCCGTAGTGCCTTCCCCGTTTCCTGGTCCACACTCCCCCCTGGAGCAGCCAGTTCGGTGGTTTCTGTGCCCGCAGGACCCTCACTTGCTCTTCTGTAGCTCAGGGTCTAACTCTGCCCCCTCTACAGAGGCGCGCTGGCTCAGTCATTCAGTGGAGACTGTTGACTTTAATGCACAGCCTCTGGGGTAGGACATAGGTTCAAATCCCAGTCCTGGCTGGGTGTGGGTTGGGCAAGTCATCCAACCTCACAGGGTCTCAGACTTGTTGTTTCTAACTGAAATTAACCCCAGTTTGCCTCACAGGCAAAGATCAAAGGGATGGATGGCCAAGCTCACTATCAACCATCAGCTGCCCCTCAAGCACTCAGGGAAAGATGAAAACCGTGAGCCGCTGCTACTGTGAATGGTGTCGCGCTGCTCGAAGGCCACGCTGGCCTTAGATTCAATCCTCCCAACAACCCTACCAAATGTTCTGATTGCACAGCTGTTTAAGCTGCGCCTCAGAGAAGTTAAATCGTTTGCCTGAGGCGGCTCACCTGACCAGTCTTCAGTGTTCTTTGGGCGGCTGATCAGAAGCCCAGCTCTGGTGCACGGATGGATTTGTTTTAACCTGGGGCTATGGGCTGAACTGTACTCTCCCAGAATTTATATAGAAGCCCCAGCCCCCAGAATGTGACCGTGTTGGGAAATAAGGTCTTAGATTCAAATGAGGCCAGTGGGGTGACCCTAATCCCATCCGACGGGTGTTCTAAGAAGAAGGAGATTAGGACCCACAGAGAAAAGAGCAGGGACGTGTATGCACACAGCAAAAACACCATGTGAGGACACGGTGAGAGGGTGGCTTTTGCAAGCCAAGGAGAGAGGACTCGGAAGAAACGGAACCTGCAATACCTTGATCTTGAACTTCTAGCCTCCAGAACTGTGAGAAATAAATTTGTCGGTTAAACCCTCCAATCTAGCAAATTCACACAGCCTGCGTCTGGAGCTCACTCACGGTGCCAGTGGGTCTGTCCTGCTCTGACGTCAGTCAGCTCAATAGCAAGGACCCCATGCGGGTTTGTTTCCCCATCCCCTCCACATCCTAGACACAGAGATTCTCTGGACCTTCTCCTAAGATGCTCAGGCCAGAATGCACTACCTTTGTCTACAGGACCAGATCTGGCCCACAGATGTTTTAAACTGTATTTGATGCCTCTAGACTAAAAGAGTTTTCCCAAATTGTTTTGACTGGTTTATACATAAGACATGTACATCATCACCCAGTGCATACATTGGACTCCCAACTGAAGCGAGTCAAATAAGGCCCACCTAACAAAGAATGATAAATGTTTTCTTTCCTATCCCATCCCACTAAACAAACTTGTTGAGACTCGATAAAGTGATTTCACAGCTCACTGATGGGGTCTTAACCCTCAGGTTGAGAAATTCTGTCCTAGACAGGCCCTGAGCTTCCCAGCCTGGCAAAAGTCCAACTGTCACGGCAATCGGTAACACTTGGGCCCTGCCCTCATTTGCTTTGCCTTCCCTGGTTAGAAGCAAGAACCGGAGGTACAGGCCAGAAGTGCCCGAATAGTAACTCTGAGGCAGTGGGCATATGGTGCCTGCAGGCATCCAACCTGCGCCCTGCCAGCGCCCACGATGGGCAGCGATTTCCAGCTTGATGTCTGGGTCACCATTAGGACCCTCCTAATGGCCGGGGAACCAACCACCTCTTTGGGTCCCCAGGGCTCCCAGGCTATTATCTTTGTGCTCCAGACCAAGCCCCTGGCCTCGAGGCTGTTGTGATAATGACTAATAACAACCCGGAGGGCCACGGCGGCAGGCATTTGTGGGGACTTACCGTGGGCCAAACTTGCCAACATCTTTCTTGCACAAAGCACACGTTTCACTGTCACAATGTTATCTGTAGGTACCGCGAGCACCCCCATCTTACCCCCATCTTACAGATGGAGAAGCTGAGGCTCAGGAAGGAACTTGTTCAGAATTGAATTGTGGAGCTCAGATCAACCCCGGCGCTCTCCTTCCTCCAGGTGAGGCCCTCCAGAGACCCCAGGGGTGCACCCCCTCCCTCCAGAACTGCACACACACACCCCAGGGCCCCTCACCTGCAGGACTTTGCCCTGGGGACTCTCAGGAAACAGCAGCACCTGGTTATACAGCGGGTCCAGCGACTTGCGAGCAACTTTGGTCTTCTTCTTGGCAATGCAGACGCCATTCTCCAGCAAGTAGGCCTTGATGTAGGCCGCTGAGGATGCAGACCAGTGGAGTGAGTTCAAATCCAGCCCTCAAATGGTGGGCAAGTGGCACAGTAGATGGAGGCCCCCCACCCACTGCTGGGGGCCAGACTGCCTCATGGGGTTTGGGGTAAGTGTGGTGGCAGGTGTGGGTGATGGGGTGTGGCCAGGTTGAGTGGGACCCACTCCACCCCCTTGGGTGGTTCTGCCTGCCCCCTCCCTGCCTTTGCTCACTCTCTACTCACCCATTTCCTCTCTCAGTCCCTGATTTGTTCACCCCATCCCCAGCTCACCCATTCATCACTGACACATTCACTCAATAAATGTTTGCTGAGCACCTACTGTGTGCCAAGCACCTAGGCATGGGGGTATAGCCATAAACAGGAAGGATGGTCCATGTCCTCCAGGAGCTCAAACCAGTGAGGAAGACCAGTAAGGTCGACTGACAACCTCAAGAAGTTCCCAGAACAGACTCCAAACCACTACTTAGTTGGGACAAAGGGGTCCCCTGTGGTTGGGCCCGATTTTCTCTCTTCTAGACCCAGATACCCCTCAGGACCTCCTCCCCGACCTCCACCCCTGCCTTGCAGAAGGAAGAGCAGCCCCACACCTGGCAGTGTCTTGGAGCCTGGCTTGGCCGTCAGTCCCCGAGCCTGGATGATGTCCACTTCGAGCTGGCCATTCCGCTCCTGCAAGCCGATCTCCACATCCCCTGCAAGGGGCACCAAAGCAAGTGGCTTAGAAGCTCACTCAAGGGCTCGGCCTCACCTCTCTACTTAGGGATGAAGCCCCCTTCCCCTGCTCCCACCCAAAAACAAGACCAGAAACAACTCCGACACGAGCACCAGGGCTCTGCTGACCCTGCAGGTGCAGACAAGGCTCTAGGCTGGGTGCTCGGTGGATGTGGCCAAGGTAGAGGGGACGAGGGGAAGGATGAGGGCTTGTGGTGTCCCCATTGGGAATAGGTCCCGGGGCACTCACCCATCGGCGTGGTGGCCAGGGTCTGGCGGCCCACGAACTGCGCTGGCCCCATGCTGCCGAGGAAGTCACTGAACTGCGCGTCTGACGCCAGGCAAACTCCCCCGTAGTTAAGGCTGCAAGAAGAGACGAGACAAAAACAAATGTTCCCAGGGGCTGACTGAGGACTCTGATGACTCAGGCAGTCACCTCCAGAACCTCCCTCATTCCCCGGGGGTTCTGTCCGGCCTCAGGCAGACCTCTGTCCTGTCTCTCCCTCCTTCTTTCTGTCTTCATGGCCCTCAAATCTCCACTTCGACTCCAAAATCCTAGGGCTTAGCTTTTGTGCCCTGTACTGTCCCCCCACCTCTCCTCGCCAAACCTCAGGTTCCACTTCCATGAAATGGGTGCGGTGATACCTGCCTTTTGGGGTGGTTGTAAGAAGCATGGGTGGTGAGGCTGTCAGTGCCTGGCTCCTGTGGGTTAGTGCCCTGATCCCGAAAGTACGGTCCAGAGACCAGCAGCGTGGCCCAGGAGCTAACGAGGAACAAAACGGCACTGTGCTCACCCCTACCTGCTGAATCAGTCTGCTTTTTATGAGAGCCCCAGCAGACTCGCTTACACCTGACAACTCGAGACGCACAGGAGCAGTGGCTCGACCTTGGAGGTCTGTGTCGGTTGCTGCTGCTCAAGGTCCATGGCACCCCGTCTGCTAGGAACGAGACCGCAGATCTCCTTTGAAAAGCCCTCTCCCCAAGGCCCGGATTTCCATGGAGTAGAGCAGACCAGGTCCAGGAGCCTGGGTGTGAGCTTCACCTGGCCAATCGGCGCATTCCTTCCCTGGGCTGTCGACTGGCTCAGAGAGCTGCACGGGGCCCGATTCAGCCCACAAGGAGCTGGTTAGGAAGCTTTCGACCGTGGGGAGTGAGAAGCTCTCTCTTCCCACCAGGCTTGAGCCTGAGACAGGTGACTGGAGCACTGGCAGCTCTCTTGCTGCCATCTGGGGTCCAAGAAGGAAGCCATCATACAGGTGGCACTGCCCGAGCTCCCGGATCAAGTTCTGCCTGCAGCAAGATACTTCATCTCTTCCGTGGTTACATCAGTCAGTAACAACTATTGTTACTACAAATTATTACTTTTTTGCTTATGCCAATTTTAGTTAGTTTTTCCTCTCTCATCTCTGAAATGGGAATAATAATGTTCTCATTTCCTAGGTCTGAGATGAGGCACTGAGTGCCATGCCTGAGGTACCCTGTCACCTTTAGGAGCAAAGAACGGGCAACACACTTCCCTGTCTGACCCTCGCTCTGACCCCAGGAGGATGGTTCTTTGTTTTATCGCCATTATTCAGGTGAGAAAGCCCAGGTCCTGCTCGGCCTAGAGCCACGGAGCTCGCAGGGCAATCAGCACTTGAATACAACAAACACTTCTAATGCCAATCCCAGGTGACTTTCCATCTGGGCACGTCCCAAGAGTAATAGTGCATTTTGAACAAGTGCCTACTGTGTGCCAGGTTTCACAGCAGCGGCCAGGGTGGTCTCTGAGCAGGAAGAGGAAAGCACCTTGGGGCCTGGAGGGTACTGCATGCTTGGTTCACCGCACAGAGAGCAGCCTCCGCAAAGCTCCCCCCTCGGGAAACCTGCTGGGATCTCAGCCTTGAAGGAGGAGGAAGAGCTTCCAAGGGAGGTAGGGTTTTGAGATCCACCCTTTCCGGGTGCCCCCTCCTGCTTCTGAACCACTCGGCCCATGAGTCTGCCTTTCCCGAGGGACAAGACCCTGTACGCTGAGACCCCACCATTTTGCTGGCGAAAGGCATTGCTCCTGAACAAACACCTAAAGACGCCAACATCACAAGACATACCCAGTCCCCAACCCACCCACTTCTGGTTGAGTACCTCAGTACAACGGCTTACTAGGTGCCAGCACCCTTCCAGGCTCCGGCGCTTATTCAAGTCCTGTCCTCACGGGCCATATATTCTGGTATGACTCGTGCAGATTCTAGTGAAGCAGGTATGGTTTTATTTAGCTAACATCAAGGACAAGAGAGACACTTGCCCAAGGTTACACAGTGAGAGGGTGGGAGTGGCAGGATTTGAACCTACAGCTGCGGGTGGAAGACACACCTTTTAACTCGCTGTCACGGCACACAACAGCCGCCCCTCGCCCAGGACTGGTCCCAGTACATGGAGTGGACTCCTAGAAGCCCGGTATGTCTTCCTTCTTTTCTTTTCTTTCTTTCTCTCTCCTTCTCTTTCTTTCTTTTTCTTTCTTTTAACATTCTTTTAAATATTTTATTTTTATTTGAGAGAGAGAGAGACAGAGAGAGAACATAGGGGAGAGGGGCAGAAAGAGAGAGGAAGAAAGAATCCCAAGTAGGCTCTATGCTCAGCACAGAGCCCGACATCGGGCTCGATCCCACAACTCTGGGGTCGTGACCTGAGTCCAAATCAAGAGTTGGACGCTCAATCAGCTGAGCCACCCAGGTGCCCCTGGTATGCATTCCTGAGTGTGGTGAACGCTGTGCTCATCTCTTCCTCCTGGACAGATAGCTCCATGCATTGCTCAGCCTTGTACCCAAGTGTGGCCAATGTGCGCTGAAGGGATCCAGGCCTAACCTATAAGAACCTCTCACATGTCGTCTTCCTGTGCTAGTCTAAGCCTATTGACAGTAATGCCAAAGGCTAGAAATGCCTGGGGTGCTCACTTGGCCCCAGAAGCTTCCCACAGACACCCCCCCGCCAAACCAATGTTAGGACTGGATCGACCCTTGTGGTTCTTTTTAAATTTTTTTTAATGTTTTATTTATGTCTGAGAGAGAGAGAGACAGCGTGAGAAGGGGAGGGTTAGAGAGAGAGGGAGATACAGAATCTGAAAGAGGCTCCAGGCTCTGAGCTAGCTGTTAGCACAGAGCCCGACGCGAGGCTCGAGCCCACAAACCATGAGATCATGACCTGAGCCGAAGTCGGACGCTTAACCGACTGAGTCACCCAGGCGCCCCGACCCTTGTGGTTCTTATTATGACTGCACGATGCCCTTCAGCCAACAATCATCAGGAAACTGAAAAAATAAAGGCTTATTACCTACAAGACCTGGAAAATCACACAACACACATGGAGGTCTACACAGCGAGATCATGGGAAGGTGGCGCAAGAGAGTGCACGGACCAGGGGTTCTGCGTCCATTGGGGTCAAGGGTGTGGGGGCATGCTCTTTATTGGTGAATTTAAAACACAAGAGTGGGAATTTAAAGCATGGGAAGAGAACAGACAAGTAGCCCAAATAGCCAGTTATCGAAATCAACCCAGATCTCTAAAACAAAAGAACCTCAGATGGGGGGTTGGGGGGCAAGGTGGCCTGGCTCTTTGTGTGGCTGGCAATTTGTTTGCCTCTTTAAGAGGAACGTCTTAGCAATCGAAGCTTAAGTTAGGCTCCAGCATGACAAAAACAAAACAAAACAAAAAAACTGTGAGGGCTCACAGGACACCATCTCACACCCATTAACATGGCTGCTATCAAAAACAAAATAAAATTAAGAAAACAAAATAACAAGTGTTGGCAAGGATGTGGAGAAACTGGAACCCGCTGCGCTGCTGGTGGGGATGTAAAATGGTACAGCCGCTATGTAAAACAGGATGGCAGTTCCTCAAGAAAAATTAAAAATAGAATTACCATATGATCCAGCAATTCCACTTCTGGGCGTATGCCAGAAAGAGTGAAAGCAGGCCTTCTGAGCCACATTTGTACACCCATGTTCACAGAAGCATCATTTTCAACACCCCGAAGGTGTCCATCGATGGAAGGATGGTCTCTACGTACAATGGAATATTATTCAGCCTGAACAAGGAAAGAAGTTGACACATTCTACAACAGGGATGAGCCTTGAAGGTGTTCTGCCAAATGAAATCAGTCACAAAAGGGTAGGTATTATGTGATTCCAATACGAGAGCTATTAGAGCAAATTCAGAGACAGAACGATGGTTGCCAGGGAGGAGGGGAGACTGAAGAGTTAATGTTTTATGGGGACAGAGTTCACTTTAACAAGATGTAGAGTTCTGGGGGTGGATGGCCGTGATGGGTTGCAGAGCAGTGTGACTGTACTTAATGCCACTGACCCACACACTTGAAAACTGCTCCAGTGCGGGATGAAGGGGAGGGGGAGTCCCAGGCTTCCAGCTGTGGAGTGAGTAAGTCACGGGCACGAAAGGCACAGCACAGGGCCCACAGTCAGTGATACTGTAAAAGCGCTGTTTGGGGACAGATAGTACCCATGGATCACTATGCTGTATGCCTGAACTAATGTAACATGGTGTCAACTATACTTCAATCAAAAAAAAACAATCCTGTTATGATGGTAAATTGGTATCATACATATTTTACCACAATTAGGAAAAAAACCCCACAAAACCCCACCTATGATGTTCTCTCTTCCCCCACTCCCCAGATAAGAGGCCCTAAGAAAAAGGGAGCCTGGGCCCAACGACCAGAAACACCAGCATTGAAATTTACATGAACAAGAAACAAAGGTTTGCATGAAGTCATTGATTAAAAGAGTCTGGTTATGGCGACCTTAAACAAATACAGTGACCCTGACCCCTGGCCTGAACTGACGGATCCATGGCTTAGACACCTGAGCCAAGCTCAAACAAAAAATCCCTCTGGGAAACAAGACAGAGAAGCCCAGAAACTGAAAGTCCTGAGAACTGAACCCTGCGTGTGTGGCCCTCACAAGGAGCCCAAAACTCACTCTCCAGTCCTTGCTGCTTAAGGTCTTCCCTCAACCACATGAGACGCCGGAGCGGCCTGAGCGGTGTGCCAATACATTCTGTTTTCACTTAAGCCGTTGGCAGGGTTGATGGCAGGATAATAACTTGACATTGTAGCCTGAGTGTTCGTCCTTTTCATGATTTCTTACCGCCCCTCCACCTTCTTCCATTCAGGCGGGAGCCTCACACAAGTGATGACCCAGTAGAAGGCAGACAACACGGGGGTCAGATTCTTGGCTTTTGAGTTTCGAATCCAAGAAGAAACAGAAGGAGATGCACAAAACCACACTGTCCTGTCCCCGCCCCCCAAACAAACAAACAACTCCCCGGCCTGAGAGAGCAGTGGGAGTCGGGGAGGAGGGGGAGGAGGGGAGG